CGTAAATGATATACCAAATGCTCAAACCCGTATCAGCGATACAGCACTTGCTACAAATGCTGAATACAAGACGAATGATTGCCGGTATTTACACTGCTTGTGCTCACGAACCCGTTTACTTGACAGCTAACATAGATATGAATGTGGTTTGCATCAAGTGCTCTCTTGCTGGCACCTAGATTATTAAATGTAGTCGGTAATCTACCTTTGATGTGATGTCGATAACTTGGTTGCCTTTGAAGTTGAATTAGCTGACAAAAATAACCATGAGCATATTTCCTGCACTAGTCGAAAGGAATGCGGTATAGAATGAAATAATCTATGAACGAGCATCTCGCTTACCATAAATGACTCCGTACACAAACTACTAAAATACCACGCGCGAAATGAAAGTTCAAAGATTACGGTAATATTTCGATGATCGTGCTGTCTTTGATCTGATTGACTACGTTAATTTCCTAGAATTAAGCAGCTTTCCGCTCCGTGGCGTAATTTATCGGTCAGGAAACTACCATCTTCTCACCACTTTACTTTTTTTCTAACAAGTTATTGTATTTGTTTGGATGAAAAATTTAAAACTTTCTATTAAAAAACAGTTCTGTAAACAAACCTTTTTCGTTTGAAATCAGTTGATTTCATAACCACCAAATGATGAAAGGAAAAATAATTTTAACCTTTCTAGGAAGGGACAATTCTACATGAAGACAAATGTAATGCATATATTTTGGAATGCTCTCTAGTCAGTGATAATCCAACGATACAGCTGCAAAATACCTTACCTTAATTTGGGGTTTTCCCCTGGTCATTAACAAATTTTGTTTGTATTTGGGTCCGGAATACAATTTTGTTTACAGTAAACTATTATAAAAAGACGTTTAAGTGTGTTTCCTAATAAGATACCTTAATTTCGACCTCGGCTAAAACGTTGTAAGTGCCCGAGTGATCAATTGGAACAATTACAACCTAACCTCCAAAATGTTTTTCTTTATTTAACATAGATATCAATATTAATTGGGATTGTAAGCCTTGAAACTTCAGTTTATCATGAAAATGCACGCGAAGAACACTTATAATTCAAGATGCTCGAGTAGTTATTTCGTTACTGAATGTTAAGCTGTTCCTCACGTAAATGTGGAATAGTGAATTTGTAGAAGAGGGTTAGCCAACTTGCTGTTCTACTTTTACCCTGCTGTATGTTAAGAGCTGATTACCACTTAATGAACTGGAGCCAAATTTCAATAGAACGAACGTCAGAACATACCTTTAATTCTTTAAAATGCATTTACAATGCTTCCCAATAAATGATTCACATCACCCAATCATGTCCACAACCATGGTTCGTCTAATCTCTCTGAAAATTGCCATAGGTATCATGAACAAATTGCCCTGTAAAAGATTCATGGTCCATTCAAATGTCTTGGCTACCATTATTAGAATAGCATTTTTTCAATTGCTGGGATAGAAGGAAGTTTAATCCACAGTCGCAAACCTGTTTTAATGCTGTTTCTTTCATCTCAGACAAAATGAAGTGCCAGAGTTAACTCGCACTCAAGTCATTTTAAGTCCTCCAGGCTAGGACCACACTCACACCCCAAGTCTACTTTAAAGTCGCATGCAATAAAGTGTATCGTAGAACAACTTCACTGGCAATAGCGTCACTTGTAAGGCCAAGGTCTTTGTCCACCGAATTCCTCATTTGAATGGCTTTTTGTTTTGCAGGTAGTATCATTATTTCTCCTTATAAAAAATTACTGGGAGAATTCCCATACGTATACAAAACATTATAGCGCCTTAGAACTTATCAAAAGTAATTTTATTCATTCGATATTAATGATGGAGCATAGAATTTTATTTATAATTGATCTAAGCGAAAACTACTCTCTGTTGATGAATGACAGCATCGTCTAAGTTTTGTCAAAACGTTTAAGGCTACTACAGAAATCTTCATAATCACGGGGAACTTACTTTCACTTAATGTCACGACCTCTGAATATCTACCGATTTTGCGAAGTACATTTTGCACTTGACAATACACCGAGGTCAGTTTCTAATAATTAAGGCACGAATATACAAAGTACACATTCGATTTCGGTCTTTTCCAGTACAATAGACGAACATTTCACTGTCTACCACTTATTTAAAATGAAATATTTGTGAGAATTGTTAGGTAACTAATGCCCATAATTTTAAATATGCCAACAAATTAAAATTTCCACTTTCAAAGGCCTTCATAGTTTGTTCTGGTCAAGGCAAATATGCCACTGAGATAATATGTAAATGGTTTATGGAACAGTCATAGTACAGGACGCGGCACATGTGTACATCATTGTCACATGCATAACTTTAAACATTTATTCATGGATAATATAAACTATACACCAATGAATCACAAGGCTTCTGAGATATGTCTGTTAATTATCCACCAATTTTCGGCGCGGGCTTGAGTGAGGATTTGGGAAACGTCTCCCTTAGGTAGTTTAAACACTTTTCCGCTCTCTCCTTACTTTGTGCTGCAATGACCAACCTGTAAACATCGCCTCGATTTCCAATAATCCCGTTACTTGCGGACTTCTTGATCGGTCCTGACATTAACACCTGACATCCAGTTTTTATAGCCACTGATTTGATCCGTCTGTCATGGGGATTTAGGTGACTACGAGCAATTTCATCAGTAGAGCTTATCTCAATTGCTTGTTCGTAGGGAAATTCCGAGTTTTGCTTTACCCCGCTAACATTGTTTGTTCCGCTTTGAGCCACCTCCTTACTTCCCGCTGCTGCCATGTTCATCAGAGGTGGGCGTTTCACCTTGATTACTTTTACAACCGGCTGCTCCCGTGGTCCCCGCACCAAGTTCTTTTTCACAGTTGGGTTTTTCTGAGTAGTAACCAACTGTGGCGGCGGGTGAGTGGAAACGGGGGGAGGGGAAGCCAAAGCGGGTGAGTTGACGGCTTGCTTCTGGTTCAGAGACTTATGATTTTTCTGATCACCTCTTCGGCTGCCTGAGGGTTGTCGTATTTGGGAGTTCTTAGGTTGGGACTTTCTTACAGTTTGAGGAATGGAACATGTTGAACAAGACCGAGAAAAGCCATGAGAACTTTCACTTGCCACAGATGCTTCCAAGTCACCCTGTTTGTCCTGTCTTTCCAACAGTTTTGTTCCAGTTTCCGAGGCTGAAGAAGATTTATCACCACTTGTGGGTGGGGTTATCGATGATGACCTACCACTATGTCCTTTATGCTCTCCGCTCTTTTGACGAGAAGACGGATCGTGCAGTGTTTGTGGGTGCAAGTGCATTTGGGTTGATCCTGGGTCACGGAATCTCTGGGCAACGTGATTTCCAATTCGCATTGCTACGTTGGCGGAGACCTGATTTACCAACCACCGTTGCAGCAGCTCTCGTCTGTGTTTGTCGCCAATAAAACTAAGGAGGTTCAATCCATTAGCTACACTTCCATGAGTTGCGGAGAGTAAGGGTTCCTTGTTGTGATCTTGGGGTTGAGGAGGCGTGGGTGCTGATTTTTTCTCGGGAGTGGCCTTTTTCAAAGTTACTTGTGGGGGTCGTACAGTCAAAAGGGAACGAGTTCCTCTTGACCTAAGAACGCAACTGGAACAAGAACATGACTCGCTTTCGCTGTGTAATGTAGAATTAGATCTAGATACAGAGTGTGAAGTTGATCGTGAAGAATGCTCTTGGGAAGTGGATCTAGAAAAAGACTCCATAGAACTCGATTGGCTATACATACGTCTGCAAGAGGTTGTTGCAGAAGGGGACACCGCCTGAGTACCTGAATTTCGTCTTTCAATGGCGCGTTTGCTTGAGTTGGTTGGAGGGCTTCTTGTCAAACTCCGAGTGGCATTAGTTGTAAAAGGTTTACTTGAATGCGAAGTACGTAATGCAGTCGTTGCGTCTGCTGTACTTTGTCGGCAAGTGGAAAGTGGGGAAATGCGAAATTTTCGAGAATTTGGCAAATTAACTGGTGGAGGGAGGGGAGGTTGAGACATTGTTATGACATCATCGACCAGGACGACATTATCATTTATGTCATCGAGAAAGTCCATCGAGTCGGCAGCAATGATCGTGGTAAAGGCTGTAGGCACCTGGCTGCGTGGAAGAACACCAACGCCGGGAGCTGCCTCATTTGGTAGAACAAACTGAGCTACTGGATTGGGTCCATTCACCTGTTTGTTGTTTCGAGCCTCATGAATTATTGTGTACGTGATGACAGGGGAAGGAGAGTGACAAGAAGAGACTGCTGGCCTCAACTGGCGGGTAGTATCTTTTCCAGGAGAACTGTCCTGACTAATGACCTTTGCTTCTTTAGGCGCATAACTTTCCTTTACATTGTCCTGAAATATGGTTGAATTAAGAACCTCAAAGTAAGCCATTGTAAAGAGAACACATACAGTGCAACCACAGGGCGTTTTAACTGTCCCCTTCCACAAAACAATGCACACTTATTTAAAGCCCTTACTATTAATCTCCAAGGTTTTAAATGGAGATCAAACCATAAATACCTTCAGCTGCGATGGAAACTATCTATATAGGATAAGTGTTGCCGCTCATTGTTCACAAACTCATAGTTTAGTAAGCCGCGATACCTACAAACATTCAGGACAATCAAATATTTGCTTTTTGCGCTTGGAATGGAGACCATTGTGCTTTAAGGCTCATGGGATTTTCTCATCTAATCTGATGTATTTCACTTGAACGGAATTTGATTTGTAAACGTTGACCTGGTAGAAAGACAAGGGATTTGCGAATCCTGCATGTTTTTCGTCTATCGTTTAAATCTTATCTTTGCTTTATAGAACTGTTGAGCAGCTTAAATCTTTATTCTGGTGTCCCGAGTTTCACAACTTTGACCATCCTGCAAAAACATTGTCAACTACTCAGAACACAACCATCATTGTGCACAAATGGACCGCCTACAGGAAGCACCAATGAACTCATTACAAAAGGGATAAGCTCACCCTAACTATGAGGAGTGGGCCTTATTGCACTCTACTACAATGATCATATGCAGTAGTTTAAAATCCAATAAATTTAGATAAACAGTTCAAAATCTTGTGAAATTGGATTTATACAGCTTTATGCAAAGAAAATAATAGCCCTTAGTTCCATTCTGAACGCTATATTTAAACAAGATTTACAACTAAATTAAATTATTTTGCTAAAAGTGTCGGTAAGCACCCACGGATAAATACAATCTCAACTAATCACAAAAACATTTTTGAAGCATGATATCAGTCAAAACGCATTACATGACTTCCTAACAATGCTTTTATAGAGGTATTTTGTCTGCATGTGCCGAAGAATGCCTAAATACCTGCATTTCCTCTAACTATAGGCAACAGGTGAGAACCAGACTTAACTATGGAATGTGCTCATTACGAAAATTATTGTTATGTCAATACTAAAGCGGAAGTTCCTAGTCCTGAGTAAATGGCGATAAATGCAACTTACAAAATTATCCTTCGTAGGGGTCATGGCGCATCCCCTTTCTATCAGTGATTTACGTGAGGGCATTGTTTGAACCTCAGCATTACAAAACGTCTTTTGCATTCCTACCGCTGGAAATTGGATAGCACACGAGTTGAACTCGCCGCCTACATGGGCCGGGGGCTTTCTCTCTGTAAACGAAGTGTCTAAGGATCGCCAGCACTTTGAATACTCCAGACTGTCAGTCGGACTATCGGAATAAACCATGGTGCATGATTCGTCATCCGCTGGAACAAAACTTTCAGGAGCTTTCAGTAAATTTTCCAGGTTCAGAAGCGAGCTACCATGAAGTAGGTCGTGGATGCTCGCGGAAGTACTGGTGTCTCCTGTTTGGATGGCGGGAGTTGGATTGTCGCCGCGATAATCATGAAGATTCGCTTGTTCAGAAGGGGGCAGAAAGCACCTAGAACTGTGGTTGTCGAAGGTCAGTCGTGTTAAACAGTTTAGATCCTGACATCTGGCCTGATAGGGGGCTCGCAGGGGGCTTTGGAAAGGGGCCGCTTGTGTCGATACCTGTTTGTTTTGAAGGCTACATGAGAGGCTGCGTGCAACCTCTGTGAAACTGTTAGAGAGTGTAGTAGTATGATTTTTAGGATTTAAGCGGATAGTGTTGCGAGAAAGAGAGGATAAGCGATTCGCAGAAGACAAAAATGAGTCCTCGTGAAGTAATTCATGATGGGGTTCTCTGTCTGTGAGTGAATTCATGCGGGCCGTCAGGAAAGCAATCTTCTCGTCTGTGGTTTCATTCGGTTCAAAGGTTGAACTGTTTATTTTTAGTTTAATCTCGGTAATGAATCTTTTGTGGGAAGATAAATCGTTGGTTGTAACGGTATTTGTGGTAAGCAGTGGGGAGGGCGGAGGGAGGGGGAAGCCACCAAAATCGTTGTTGTGATTCGTAGCTTGAAAACATCTGCTTGCTTGTTGAGGAAGCTGAGACGTAGCGCACTTTCCCGTAGCGTCGTTGACTTCTGTAATAGGTGGGGGGGAAGGTGGTGGGGGAAGAGGAGGGTCCCCAAAGAAATCGCATTGATCAAACTGATGCAAATTGATTGGAACTCCATTAGCAGTATCAGATTCATTTACATTTCTTTGTGCTTTGACTAGCGGCGGGAAGGAAGATGATTTCGTGAGCACTGTCGTCATGTCACCGGCTTCATTTATGGGTCGTGGGGACGGTGGTGATGGAAGAGGAAGATCTTTCAAACATTGGTTGTGATCGAATCTATGTAAATTGAAAGGAACTCTATTACCGGCATCCAATTCAGTTGCATTTCTGTTTGCGTTGATTAGCGGTGGGAGGGACGATGAGTTAGCATACATATTTGTCATATCATTGGCCTTTGTTGTGGGCGGTGGGGACGGTGGTGGTGGAAGAGGAGGGTCCTCGAAGAAATCTTTTTGATCGAATCCGCATGTATCGGAAGGAACTCGATTAACGGTATTCAATTCAGCTGCATTTCTGCTTGAGATGGATAGCAATGTGGTGGGAGACGGTAAAATGTCCAGTTCTTTGCGCCCACCCAGATGTTCGTCTGCAAGAGAATGGAAGACCTTTTGGAAGGGGATGTGAACTACCGGTCTTATTCCAGATGCCTCGCCACCTGATGCTAAGCCGGGGCAACGTGTAAGACGATGTGCGTAAAACTTATTCTGGACCTTAACAGCTGTGTGGAATTCCACACGCATTATTTTTGCTCTATGAAATTCACCAGTGGATGAATTGTTAGTCTGCATATTCTGCTTTCCTTGACAACTTCACGATAAACTCGTCACGTTGACAGCTACATACTAAAGGTTGCTTGAATACATCAAACCCAATCAACGATCACGAGGTTAATCTGGTGTCACATGACTAAGTGCACGTGACTTCGTAAGGGTATCTATAGTCACTTTCGCCCCAGGAACCACCTTGTTATAGAAAGGATAACAAATAATCCAAGTGGCAAGAATTAAATCACAGGTATCGACAAGAGTGGGGTATCTAGCTAGGAAAGCGGAAAAATGCTTTGAACTAAAGAGATGTCCACATTCACATTAGGTGGTCAAGTTTGGTAGAAAGTGCTAGGCCGTTACGACAAAAATCCGATTCAGCAAATTTACTTTCCAATAGGAATAATTAATTTGGTGAAATACTTTATTCTACATCAATTAAATCACTGATTGTAAACTGGACGTGCATGCAAGGTTCTTTAATTAGAAGTGCGGTTTGAATTCCCAAATGATTTTTAATAAAAAATTCTGTTAAGTCCCACGTTGCCCAACAGTCTCGCCTTTTCTGTGATAGATGTAATAAATTGATGATTACATTTTAAATGCACCAGCAATTGTTCTCGGTTCTTCTAAATACTCGGATGTAATGAAGAAACAAAATGAACAATAATAATTTCTTGTAATTTTTTTCATTTTTCACTTATTTAATTCCACCAGCTTGTTCCCGTTCATTTTGAAGTACAAGTATGTGAAAATGAATAAAATCAAAAAAAATATTAATGAGGCCGCCTCACAGGCGGTAGGCTGCATCAAAAAGTAATGAACACCATGAAGCCGGAGTTTATGTACCAGAAGAGTAAATGTAATAGCTTAAAATTCAATTGAGTTGGTTTAAACTTTTCAGTGTAGTGGAATTTTGGCGCTCTTCACAGTTTGTTACCACTGCTAGTCTTTTACCAGAATGTTTTAAATTTTGTTTCGAATAATTCATTGGTTCTTCTCAAATCCCTGACTTGCATGAAGGCATATCCAACTCCCAAAAGGTTAATCATTACGGCCCTCATTTAACGCCCACGAAAGGTTTCAGCTTTCGGAGTGAGTACATTTACCTTACAACGAGACCATTATTCTTTGGATATGCACTCTACGGCATGCAGAAATCTGTCTTGTATAGCCACCCTATAACCCTGCTAATTTTTCAATGAAAGGTAAGGTGGGATCACAGATGCAAGTCACCTTAAAATAAACTTGTTCGGGCAGACCTCGAGAAGCAAGCGTCCGCCACAAAAACATCTCACTCCGGAATGCAAATTAGACGAGAAAACATTTAAGGTAATTTGACTGAAACTACTTTTAACGGCAAGCACATCATTGCAGTAAAACCAATGTCTAGATTTTTGCACCTATGTGATAGAACAATGACTTTAAAATTATGGCAGTTTAGCTAACGGAATTTGCATTTTTTCTTTAAATTAGGTTCCTCAAGAATGAAGGTAACGTAGTTGGCTTCAGGTGTCTTAGAAAGCCTGGATACAAAATTGAAACGAGCAATATATGCGTTTTTATCTATTTGGCGTAGAGCTGTTTAATATTTTTTTTTGAAATGGTGTTTTATTAATGTTCTGTCTAAAATTGATGATTTTTAATGGGACCCATCCACTACGCAAATAGAACTGCAATTAGCAACTATAAGTGATAAGAAAAAGAAGCAGAATAAACGACAATTACTAGTGTGTTGTGATAAAGTACGACAATGTGATTTGTCCATTTGTATCCTTTATGCACGAAATGAACACCAAGTAGTCAGCGCCAAAAAGGAGTAAGCAGGCAATGACCACGAGAACTAACCAATTTTATTTGAAAGGTAATATTGTTTGAAAAAACCTGCGACATAAGGCAACTGCAGCGGATTATCGCATTCGCTAATAGCTCCTACGAAAATTGAAGCCTCAAAGGAAGGTTACCTTAAGTAAAGTAACTGAAAACGTTAAAAAAAGGCTTTGATTATAACTACCACCAAACCCAAAACACCAATATATTGGGGTAAGAGTAAATCTACCGCGTACGACACTCAAACAGAGATCTAATGTAAAAACGTTAAAGCAAACCAGGGTCGGGTGACTGTCTGTCGGGATGCTGCTAAGGGGCGGTGCACACGAGTTCCCTGCAAATACTATCACATCCCACTTCTGGCCATCTCAGCTAGTCGTTCCTTGGCGTTGAACTCTGCACTCTC